TACAGTAATTTAGTTAGTTAACTTTTAATTACTTATCTATAACTAAAATAGTTATATAATAAATTTTAAAAAAAATTATTTTTTATCATATCCTCCATATGCAAATTTTGATACGGCTTAGCAACCTACGGGAAGCAGCAAACGAGTACAATGTTCATAATTATAAGATGTAATTGTTTGTTATACTTATATATTTACTGTTCTATGTTTTAAGAAAAATAACTTACATTTAAGAACTTTGTTGTAAATAGTAATAATATATATATATACATATATAATGTATTATAACTGAAATGTGACTGTATTTTACAAAATACTGGTCGATTAAAACACAGCCAAGACAGTTCACTTTATAGAGGCCAGTTTTATATTCTTGGATATGGTAACATGAATGCATGTGTGCCAAATCATTTCAACTTCATTAATGTTAGCCAGGCACGATTGGAAGGTCGATATAATAAAAATATATATAAATATATAATGTTATGAGATTTATGCTATTTAAACTAAACATTTGTGTTTTTGTGTTATAATTTGTAGTCTTTCTAGAATGAGAAAACATAATTTATATTTATTTCCTAATTTTTTATGGTGGTTACGAGATTGGTCAAATCTACTGCAGTTACACACAGATTTGATAGTGAAAATAACAGATAAAATATAAAGTTATTTTCTTAAAAGATGCTTGATGCTTGATAATTATCTGGAGGTTATAAAGATTTCACATGTGTAATTTTAACATTTTCTGATGCATAAAAATATCTTTAATCTTAAAATCGAAATTACATTGCATGTTGGATAGTCAACATGCGAAAAGAAAAATGAGGCATAAGAAAAACATTACTTCAAAAATATTAACACTTAATAAATAAAATCTGATATTTTGCATAGTAATGTTTACTGATAATATGCCAAATTTCTTGAACATAAGCTTACTAATTTAAGAGTTATAGAATGAAAACTACAACAAGCACAAAATGGTTATGAGGTCGGTCGCAGGAACCAGGCCTGTGCTGAAAGAGTTAATCTATATGAACCAATAGTTACAAAGTCAATGCATATAGTACTACAACAGCTAATAGGTTTCTTTATAGTAACAATGACTGTTCTCTACATCCATTTCCAGTCAAAGTTAATTTTAATCTATTTAATCTATATACTAGTTGTATATCACAAAATCCTCTAATGCTTTGTCTTCAACATGTTGACTGACATCAAAACTCTAAAGTTCCTGTTCAAAAGTTATAATTTTCCTATACTGAAAAAGTATTTCCGATAAGTACTTCCTTCCGCTCACAAGTTTAGCTATTCTCATTCATTGCTGCCTCCTATATGCAAACTTTTTATTTACGCATGCCACAAGCCTTCTGTTTCCCCCCTATTGGAATCGTGTGATTCCAATGTAAATCATCATGCCCCACCTCTCCACCAATAGGAATATAGTACACTCACATGATGTATGTTACTTCCTCTATGCACCTTTACCAAACTATCACTTTGAAGTCGGGCAGAAAACGAAAGCACTGGAAGTTTGTGGGGAGGAATGGTGGGAAGTTTGAGCAGACGGAAGTACCCATCGGAAATACATTTTCAACATAGGAAAATTATAACTTCTGATACAGTACTTCCGTCTTCTTACAAGATTAGCTAGAATCCCACACTGATTAGGAGAAGGGACCAATGTGAGGGAAAAACAGACGTACCCCCAAAAGCTTCTGAAGGATACCTCCATAGATGAGAGAGTCAGATCTGAAGAGAGGAACCGCACCACTTCTGAACCAGAAGGAGGAAATTGAGGGAGGATGATAGACAACCCAAAACCCGTGTGAGAACTTATGTTGATTGGTTCACTCTAAATCCAACACCAGGCCATGGAGTACTGGCATCCACACAGTGGTAGGATGAGGGCTCCCAATTCAAGCGGTGAACTGCATTTTCAATGGCTCAATTCCAGTGGTTGTGTAAATGGTACCATGTCATCCAGCAAGGTGATGGCTCAACTCCTCTGGAGGCCACGTCTCATCTACATCAGCAGAACATCACCACCATACTCTCAACTGAATGGTTATTGCCATATTTTTGTGGAGCCCATTCAGGAGGGCACCTCCACAGTCAACTACCCCAATGGCTTGGAACTGGAAAGTGGTAAGGACTCACACACTCCACTAGAAGAAAGGAGGGTAAATACATGGTGGAGAGTCTGGAGGAACATCATCACTGGAGACAGTGCAATGAGAGACCATGAAACCCTATTTTGAAAAGCAAAACATACTAATTTATTTAATCAAGGCATAGCAGGGATGAACACTATCCCATTCTGCTGTACCCCATGCAGTCCACGAGTGGTATGGTCCAGAATGAGCATGTTTATGAAGCAAAAAATCATCAGGTTATTCACCTTAAAGCAATCTTGTGGGACACCCCATCTCACCGTTCAGCATTGCGTGGCCATGGAAGAGAGCACAATTCAACATGGCTGTACAGTGTGGATTTCAA